TACCTTTCCCTTCCATCTTTGATGGTACGGGCAAGGTAAAAAACATATTGCATCCAAGAAAGGCAAAATAACAACAATTATTGACGACTGCGATTCTAGATACATTATACAAGGTAAGTATGCATCTCAGACCAATGAAAATTAGTTGTAATACCAAGCAATCTATACAGGCTTTTTGAAATTAAAAGACACAAGTCAAATGATTTCAAAACTATGTATAGGGCACTTTGTCATTCTATAACAGGCTTCAAGTATGGCCACAGTCACAGCCTCACAGCCATGCTTATTTAGGATTTTGGGTAACTGTTGTCAATCCCATGTTAATTGCGATATCTGCCTCACTATTGATACTTTTATATTCAGTATCAATGTGGATTCTGATGATGAAATTGACATATAATCAACACGACTTCCGCTGCAATTTGAAAAATAGAATGAAGTTCTTGCATTCTAATAACTATTCCAAATGACGGCATTTATCTTCCTAAACTCCTCAAATTGAATATAGCATGGACATACTGCGATCTGATTGGTGGAAACAGCCCAGCCATGTTGTATGTTTGATGATAAATAACAATAATTTACACTGTATCAGTGACTATGAAGTTACAATAGATATAGTTACTGTTACACTCAGGATCAAATAAGACCAGATCCTCTATTGTCACAAGTATTAGGATACACTGGCTCAACTAGAAGCATGACATGAGATGACCCCCGCCACAACACACATGTGTAGGTAAGTGAATGATGACAAAATGTAAAAACTATATATAAATGGATTGCATTTCCTGGTTATATAAACAAGCTTGTGCAATTTTGACATTGTCTGCAACTTGGATTTGATGTGTACAATACAGAAACGAAGTGTTTTACAGTAGAATAGGAATGCCTTGAAGGGTTTATTTCAGACTCAGCGGGTTGGTCCAAAAAAAAAAAAAAATATTTTCATGATGACTTTTGGTCCATTACTTCCCAAAGACCTGACAATGTAAAACCATCTTTAAGTTTTTCTATTGCTAATCCCAGTTCTTCTGAGTATACCGGTGGACGGTCTTTTTGCTTGTCACCATCGGCAAAATAGGCCTGGTTGGAAAGAACAGACAATTAATGCACATAATATTTAAATTCATTATGCCTCGCGTATTATGCAGGTCACTGATATGAAATCAATTGTAAACATGGTAAAATCAGGGTATCAACACGTAGGTGCGCAGTTGTAATTTAAATATTCTAATTCAAATGTCTAAATTACCGGTAGAGTCAAAGTTATGTGTGCAACAACAAATTTAATTTTTGAATGTTATTATAATCATGACCAAGTGATACCGTAAGTGAGTTTATATAATATTCACATTTGAAACAGCAGGACCAAAATGACAAGATCGTTTGCTACTAAGCGTTGCATGTTTACCGGGTAATTGTTTTACACTTTTTATTACCAAGAAAATTAAAAGCAATGTATTTTAAGTGTAAGAAAATTACAAACACATAAATGCACACACACACATATGATTCAAACTCCCATGGCAAAGTGTCTTGCAGTCTTGCAGTTCAGTATGCTACAGTGTATAATGACACACAATCAGCGATTAGAAGATAAATAATAACAATAAATTTTGTATTTAGTGGACTTTAACCATTTCAAGTTTGTGAAGCCTATTTTAGAACCAAATGAGGACCTTTTATTTCTGCTTGACGATTGGATATGTATGATAAGTACAACCACATGTCAAATATTGAAATATCAACCCAGCAGGTTTGGAACTCAACTCATGTCATCTTACTTACAGCAAATGCATCTGATTGTTCGTCCTCATTGACAATCTCCACATCGTCTTGAACGGTTTCAATCATTAAATCTTCCAAGCCCTGTGGTTTATCTTCATTTTCAAATTCTACACCAAACACTGGACTAGCACTGTACACACGGTGTAGACTCTGGATTTCTTTCACCACCTCTTGTAGTTTCTCCACTGGATCTATGCGAAAACCCAACACATATCCACCACTCTGTATGGAGTAACATATGATTCAATCTGGTAAGTATATATCTACATTACCATCGATGAGTTTAAATTCAATTTAAAATTTGACATTTTGATGGACCAAACACGTTTTTGAAACATATGACGAAGACACAAACACGATACAAATTTATATTGGTGAGTGGTATGACACATCGTGGAAGGCACAGTCAGAGCCAGTAAATTTTGGCGTATTGATAGTCTGTAATGACGTATTGACACTGGGCATAAAGTACTACAGATTGGTTAATATTCTACAAGACACAATGACAGTCTGACTTTCATCATTGCCACTCACAGGTTTATATGTTCATAACAGATCATTTGACAACCTGTGTATTAGAGTCATTGCTTGTACTAGTAATAAATAAGATATGAAGGTAGTTTACTTAGGTGGGAGTTGCTACAAGGTTCAGCAGGGATTATATTATACTCAGATTGAGTTTTTCTTTCTCTATAAAGTGGAGAAACATGCAAAAACTAATAGACTAAATTAGCTGCTATTGTCACTCGATAAAGTTCATGCATATACAAATATTAGCAGATACTGTCTTACCTGTACTGATGTTTCAAGGACCAATGCCAAACCAAACTTAGAATCACGGATTTTGACAGTCCTCTATAAATTAAATAAAACAATTATTAAGAATGAAAAGCAGGTATAACATGTAATCTATTTTTACACAAAATAATTCTGATGAAATTTTGCTTTCAATTTCACCTACAAGATCGTTCAGTTCTTTTTTTATGTTTATACCGCTCTTGGTCAATCACCCATTGTTCAGTCATCTTTATGCAGTTTTTAAACCTACCTACGTCAAACACTGATCAACCAATCATGAGCGAAGCGGGTCACCAATAAACAGGAAGTAGTAGTACCGGTAGTTTGAGTGACAAGTCTCAACAGGAACGTCACCGGACAATTTCCATGTAATGGCGCATGAGGGTGTTACATGCTATAACAGTCCTCAGGCCTTACAGCCCTCGCTTGAAATGCCTTAGGCATTTCGTTAACACGCCTACGGCGTTTTTAAATAAGTGACTCTTTATTAGGCCCGAGAACTGTCGACAGTCTAGTGTCACGGTGGTTTACAATATTACACCCACAACAGTGCTGTTTATAATCAATTTTAAACCCACTTCACTTCAAAGCATACAATTACCTATTAAATATACCTTGTACTTACCATTTGTAAATACGGCACACTGACATTAAAACTATCATTCATGTTAGCATGCCATACCAGACGTACATTGGTGATGAAAAATGTTCCTAAATTACCCTGTGAATAAAAACAAAAGACAAATGAGGTAATTTTTTCAAATGTACCAATAGTCATCTGTAGATAATAAAATTTTATCTGAGCTATATTTATGCTAAGTGTAACAGAGTTGAGTATTTCAGTGTGTTTCCATATTTACTCAATACCCCACCCTGGGCAATCTTTTGGAGGGAAGGTCTTACATTTGGGTGAGTGCTACCTCCAAAATATCACCCAGGACAATCTTTTGGCAGCTTTTTTCAATGCTATTCCAATCCATTATAGCCATTATATCGTTTTGACAAAAATATTCATTAAACTTAAAGAAATGAAGATACCCTGAACAAAACTGAGAGGGGTCCACCTGAGGCACCTATATATCAGATTTCAAAACAATCATTGAAATTAAAGCTGTGAACAGAATTGCAAGGGTTCAAGCATACGCCTGAACACATGACCACCTAACAGTCTATTCAAACTTATTCACCCATGTGTACAATATCAGTCAATAGTGAATTTAATGCATCTGTAGGAATTAAATATACACATTCTATTGTTCACACACGAAGATTCTGACATCAATGCACTGTACCAAAGATGAAGTTGATAGTTTAAGCACTCATAAGAAACAATGCCCATTTGACCCTTTTCAAAAAAAGTCAAAGATGGTGACCGGGTCACATGATTAGTCCAGATTATTTTGCTTGTACATGAAGTAGTTTAGTGTTAAGATGTAACATACCAAATATAAAATCAATCAGATAACTGTGGCATCAGTAAAAAACTACTTCCTGTTTGGAAGAAATCTTTTTCTCATATGAAGCTATGACATATATGTTATATACTAAATATCAAATTGATCATTTGAAGTTTTAGATTTTTCATTACATAGTTAAATCTTGATAACATCTCAGTTTGTACTCGTTGGTCTGCACAACAGATGCCATCTTAGTTCATACGAGACCCACATCTCACGCATGCATGGCACCACAACCTTCAAACCTTCCTTCAAACAGTAAATACGATTACATGTACAGTTTTACCCAATACTATCATGATATGCTGACCTAAAGCGATTGATCCTAAACTTTTAAAAATAGTATATTTCCTCACCTGATCACTTGACAGATTCCAGACACCGTTAATTTGATCATAGACTTGCTCCTGCGGTAGTAACTTCAACTGTTTGTTGTTAATTAATGCCCCTCTTAGTTTGAGGTCACGATACATCTTGGATGTCTCATAAGCACTGTTAGTAATCAAAGAAAGCTTAGAAAGAACTTCCATGTGCTGAGAGTATTGGAGACACATTAAATATAATTCAAAATTACTTAGCTGAAAACTAATTATGAAAATCAGAAAATTAATATGACCAGATTTGAGTGTAAAACTAATGAGGTCTGCGCAATGTAACAGAAAATCTATGTCTCCAAGTTTAATTGAAATGTGATTAGAACCAAAAAATTATGAATTATTATGCTTATTAGGGAATTAATATGAACAGATTTTTACCCCAAACTAATTAGGTTTGTACATTGTCCTAGAGCATCTTTGTACTAAGTTTCATTGAAATGGAATAATTAGTACCGTGAAAATTCCAAAATTTCGACCCCTCTAAAAATTCGTTCGCCTATTTATTTGCCGGGTTTCGGTGGTTT